AACTTCCACGTTGTTTAATTGATACCGTTTATGAAGTTCACCGCTACAGATGATGTGCTCTCGCCTCCTATCGGTTGATCACGTTTAACACTTCGCACTTGACAGCCAAGTTTACTTCACGTGTTATCTGAACGTTGCGCGTCCGCTGAATTTGCATTAACTGCTTCATCCCTGCGGGTGCAATTGCCGAAAGACGTCCCGAGGAGTTCCCGCCAATGACTAAACTTACGGAGTCATGTTCACCGCGTAATTAAATATTTCGCGCATATCAAGAGAATTGAATATGCCGCGAGATATAAGCGGGGAAAGTTCTTCTTCGCGCATAATTAATTTATCGCGCCTTCTTGCGCTGCCCCCTTTTCCCCTTCCCCCTGGATGTGTGACGCCGCGATAATTCGAGTTATGTCATAAATCCCACAGCGCAAATCGAATAGTCTTCTACGCACGAGCGTCTTCCGCTTCGTGTATCTCGCGCAGGTGAGTCCTGAGAACAAATTCGGTGCCGCGTCTCGAAAGCGGCATTCCCGGTACTCGTTTCTCGTCGTACTCGACGCTTCTGAATCGTTAAATCGCATTACAGAGAGTTTACGGCAGACTTATCTTCAATAGATGAAACAAGCTACAGAGTATGTCTCTTCGATCTGCTGCTATCTGCACGGCTTCTGCGACTTCCGCGAGATAAGACTTAGATATTTTCGACCCAGTTACTTGATAACGTTACGTATTTATTGGCTATGATTAAGAATTTTANCCCCCCCCCGAGCGAGATCATTCTAACGTGCAAGTCCGATTGATATTTATGATATTTTGTAGGAGAAACCGATTTAAAAGTTTGATATCTGACGTCTTTCATTAAAGACTTTACGCAATACATCATCCAAGGGACGTTCCTTTGTAGATAAAATTGAGAGGCTGAGAGAGCGGAAAAGACAGGATTAATGTGTATCTTCGGCTTTTCGCGGATAAGAGTCCGTCGACTCCATTATTGTCAATAAATTATTATTGTCATGGCGATTCTCACGTCACGTGCTCGATTGCGAAGGACGACGATCGCGGCAATATCGCGAGGTATTCGCGAGCGATCGGGACGCCGACACCACCCGATTTTCGAGAATTCGACATTAACTGGAGAACGTCGCGCTCCACGCATCGTCACCGAACTATGCTAAATTACTGGCCGAATGCCACGGATCGCCGATCGATCGGAATTCTTCAGGCTCCGTCTTCGTTAAAAAAAAGAAGCTTCAAGTTCCTATCGAATTTTTGTTGCGCCGCCCGCGCTCCCATTGCAAGAACTGTAATGATTCGGCGTTTCATTGAGTCCCCACGTGACTGGGCTAAAAATAGTCGAGACAACAAAATGATCCGATAACGGGATATCTGCTTCTCGTGTTCAACGTGTCGCTCGGGCGCGTTAATCTTGACGCTTTGTTTGAAACCGATGCCTATTCTTAGCGCTGCTAATCTTCTGCTTCGGCTTATCGATGCGAAAATGATATTAACGCCGTGGTCGATTTCAAATCTGTGTCGCACGATATATCGCCCGCCGCGTGAACGTATCGCGAGCGCGCCGCTGCGTAAACAGCTAATCTGTTACGTGCATTTTTCAAATCCTCGTCTCGGCCTCAAATTCCTCGGAGCGNCCCCTCCCCCCCCCCTCCATCGTTGCCACCTATCGCGTTATCGCGCCGGAAGCGCGAAATTACACGGCAAATTTACGTTTAATGGCAGTTGAACGACTATCTTAGGAACATGTCTACGACAAGCGTCGACGGAGACGAGAGATGAGCTATAAAGGGGAAGTAAGAAGATTCGATCTATGTGATAATGAGGCTATTCCCCGGTACACGGACGTGCCATGTAACATCGATCCACCCATTTTAGTCGCATCGACGCCTCCGACGCCTTCCAGCCCGAACGAACGAACTCGTACGTTCGTTTTCACATCACTCGGTTGCTTTTTACCGTCGTTGGGATTTTCGGACGATGTAGCGTGCCATGCCTTCTCGACAGCTCGGACCGATCGTTTATCACGGCATTCTCCGTGGATGGTGTCTGAGGCTCTCTCGAATCGGTTTTTACTCGCGACTGACTCGGCGATTGTTTAAGATCGGGTCTCCACCTCGTTAAGCGGTGAAACTTTATTTATTTCTCTCTCTCTCTTTCTCTTTTTCTCTCCCTCTATCTCGCCGCTTAAATCTAAAGGGTACCTAAAAACGGGCGGACGAAAAGTTCGCCGTTGCGCTCCATCAAACTCGGGCGCGCTTTCGGTAACGATATCCCCGGCTAATCGAAAGCGCCTCGACCGCCGCGAAATTCCGGCTGGGAGCGCGCGCACATCGACATCTTTACGTCCGGCTTACGATGCGGTCGCATAATGGGGCGAACTTTACCCCTTTGTATCGCGTGACTCTTGTTAGTCGTTACCGGCGATACGCACGGCGACGAGTTAACTATAAGCGACGAGCAGTCCCTTAATGAGAATCCGAGTGGGATCAACCCGTAATAACGCAACGGCGTCGTTTCGCGCGCGGCTATGCACATTCTGCGCGAACAAAATAATATATTTCGTTCTCGCTCGCGAAGTAACGCATTAATATGACAGTACGCGTGCATGTAGGCTCATGCGGTATGTGAATAAATAACGGCGTACGCGCGCGTAAATTTATATTTGACGATGCCAGATTAATGGAATGTTTCATCGCATATTTGCCATGCGGAATATGTACGCCGGTAATAAACGGCATATCTATAAATTGGAAGAGCGAAGAACGGAAAAGAGAATTTTACTGTGGCGGCACTCGGAAAAAGAAACTTCGTTCCTCTCGGTACCGTCGCCGATAGCTTTTGTTGCGCTTATTGATTCGATCAAAAAGCTCGCTTGGACCTAAGTGGTGTTACGTACACGCAACGCGGGCAACAATGCCGCCAGAGCGCCAGCGAAAGATCTTAGATGACGATATTGATGAATCATTTGTTTTTATCGGGGATACAATAAAATGACGTTTGACCGAAAAACGGACTTTGTGCGCACTTTCCGATTGACCTAATAATTCTTTTATACAATCAGGTTGTCGAATTGTTTTAGGACCAACTATTTTTCCTTGATTGTATTTCAAAATAAATTGATCGACCCGATACAAAAGATAAATTCATTTCCCAGTTAAAAAAATGTGAAAAAGATCAATTCCTGATTTAAAAAAATAATCCGTGATTTAACGAGTGTCGACAGACTGCGGGACTTTGCTGAATTCAATAATTTACATCGAGATCTCCGCGCGCCGAATTATATTCCGACAAGTCTTGGCTCGGCGAGACGTGTACGCGCATTGCGCCAATTAAAGGCGCGCATTCGACTCGTCGTAAAAAGTGGATTACGACTTTGGTCGGATAAATGTTTATATCTCGCTTGGCATGTTGCGGTGCAACGATCCGGGTAGCCACGGAAAATGCAATGCTCGTATATCTTGTCGGGCAGAGTTCCTCGACAAACGATCCATTTTGCGCGACACTATTGATCAGTTTTCTAACCATTCCTAAATCCTGCTTACTTCTCGCTTAATTATGAAATAATCTTAAATATTTATGCACGAGTCAGTCGTCGAGAGAACGATAGTAAGCGAGCCGTTTCATTTCTGAAAGAGAGGTGCAGATGATTACCAAAGTGAAACATGAAGCTGAAAGCGGATTTCTTTTCGCGGATCATAAAAATGTACTGAGAATCGGCAAAGTGGAAGCAGACCTCAATTATTTCCGACTTATGCGGTCGTGCAGTAAGTTGCCGCGATATACTTAAACAATGTTTCTACTCGCGGGAGATAAATTATTTGCTCTAAGGAAGACCTTCGAGCGCAGAAGGAAGAAGAAACTGAAGAGAGGAAACGGCGCTCTCGCGTGATCCTTTCCGTTTAACGAGAGCGGGCGTTTATTTTTAACAGCGGTTCTTTTTCCTCTTTTTGCACAATATTCTCCGCTTATATGAAATTCGGGGCAGCTTTACGAGTCGGGCGTCGCGATATGCAGGTAGAAATGAAACGCGCCCGCGGGAAATTCGTCGGCGTGCGGAAGATTTTGCGGATTTGCCCAGGATTTTATAACTTTTCAGTTATACGACACGGCGATTTATCTTGGCGATATTTTCAACACAAAGCGGCGAAGTTCATTGTGACGAGAGGATGGGTTCTTAAACCGACAAGTTCCGCATGTAAAAGCGTTCGGCGAGGTAGGGAGTGACTTTGAAACGTCGGCGACGTATTCCGCTTCGGAGCGAAATGGTGTGTGATCGAAATTTTCTCCGTTCTCCCCTTCTCTCGCCGATTCATACACATCCACCTGACTTCCGCATTCGGCGCATTCAGGTTCGCGTTAAGCCGGGATGAAGATGTCGAAGCGGGATACACGTGAGGATGATGATTATAAATCGCTGAGGTTAAACACAATATAATCGCGGCGATGTTTATCATGCAGGTAGACAGAATATCAGAATTATATATATATATATCGGTGCGAAGGCTACTAATACGAAGACAAATGTCAATATGAGCCGTCTTTCCGATCTTTTTTAATTATCGAACGCCTTTTTCCGTTCGCTTTTTCCTCTTTCTTTCAGTAAAGCAAGCACATCGGCGGATAATTACCTGTAAATCAATCGTGTTTTCAAACGCGATGTAAAAGACGACCGATGTAAAGTTTGTCATCAAACGGTTATAAAGAAATACAAGGTACTCTGCAAATACGGCAACGAATATTTGCTTTGATTCATAGGGACCGGATGTGTACATACACACGCCGTATCTACGTGTAACGGACTGCAAATGTAATTGAACCGAACGTATATCTCAAAGTGCTTCGGCCGCAATAATATTTATATAGATCTTGACGTGCTGTCTGCCCACCCTCCTGCTCGCCCCCCTCCCTCCTCTCCTTCCATCGCATCCCGCCCTCACACATTCGCACTGACCTATAGGCGAGAAATCGTTCTTTTTTTCTTTTTATTTCAGTCGTGGTGATGTGTGCTAATTCAACGACCATCCGGGAAATATTGCTGGCTGCCGAGGAGCTCGGAATGGTGGACTCGGGGGAGTACGTGTTCTTCTCCATAGAGCTCTCCTCCAGGTGAGCAAAGTAAACTCGGAGTTTCTACCGCGAGAAGTAATTGCGTATGTTATCCGTTATGGGGTGAGTAGTACGACGTTGCGAAAGTTTTCGAAGCGCCGAATGAAAAGCGGTAATAAATAGGCGTGTAACACGCCTCCGCGAACGCGCGTCCGAATGCATGAGACGATTACATGCTACTTAGCTAATTAATAATTGTTGTGCTAAAAACCAAATTATGCAGGCAGATCTTATTACGGAGATCATGTGACCCAGGAGAGACGATATCGAATAGAACTTAATATTACTGCATATGTAAAAATGACTGTTGCAATGCCCACATCACGTCACTCATTTGATATCCAGAATACGCCAGATATCTTACTGAAGACATACGGGTGCCTGCTGAGGATGTTAGTGACATATTTCTCGGCTTCTAGTTCTGACGATGAGCTACCGAGCGAATATCATGAAAGGAATGAAACTGCTTTCGGCAGAGACTCCAAAGAGAATCTGAAATTACTCAATTCTTAATATTTCTATTATTATCTATAAAATGGTATCCAATTGATAACTGTACGCGGTCGGCCCAAAATGGACGTAGTTCTATGATACGTGAGAACTCGAAATTTCGTTTCCTCTAACCAGAACGCGTTTTGTTGTCCATTGTCACGTAAATCCAACGAAACACATTTTTCAGTGCAAATTCCTATTACGCGTGGTATTTCACGCGAGACATGCGAATATCGAAAGTGGATCTCGAGCGGTATCACGCTTGATTTAACGACGCGATTGTGAATTCAGGCTCGTTATTCGGGAAAGTTCGCGCTATAATGGCGCGCAGGGGATTACACAAAGCAAGTTATAGCCGCGCGAAATCTGTAGGTGTACGCGGGTCATATGTCAAAAACTGGGGCATAAGCAAGGTACCTGTACAATAGCGCGTAGTCGGGGACACTAAAGCCATTTTAATTGAAACGAATGTGCAGTCGCTGGAACACAGCACGGCTCCGTACAGGAGGGAAAATTGGCATGAAACACGTCGCGTCCGTCCTGTCTTCGGTAACTATGGGAGGGCGCGCGAGGGGGAAGGAAAAGGACGGATAAAAAGGGATTAAAATTGGATCCGACGATGCTGAACGTTTTTGTAATGAACCGAGACGCTTGTTTCGCGTACGAAATGATTGTTTCCCTGTCTACGAAATAAGAATATGTATTTTAACCGCATTACGGTACGATTCGGCTGAATCGCGAATCACTGTCCGTTTCTTTTCCCTGGAGATTTATTTTCACGTGACACGATAATTCATGCGCGGTAGAAATTTACGTAAACATTTCCTCCGTGTTTCTATATTACGTTTTTTATCGTTCTTTACTGCAGTTAGGTTATACAGACGCGGAATAAATTTTCCGGCGTTGATTCAACCGTTTAAGCCAAATATGTAGGGAATTCGGAAGCAGTTTCCACGGTTGGTTTAACTTAGTTGGTTTTGAATAATATGCTAATGTTGGCCGAGCACAATATATAATATGGTTAGAATCGGACGATTGTATTCGCCTTGCTTGTTCTCTCTCTCTCTCTCTCTCTCTCTTTCTTTCCCTTTCTCTCGCGCGCGCGCCTTATTTCACGCTGCAACGTACCAAATTTGGGTCCATTTAAGCCATCAACTTAATTTACTCGTCGCCGCGCCGTCCGCGCAGTCGTTTAGTCGTTTCGCGTTAGATCGCGAAGCAGTTTGTTGCCGGTACATCCGGCTCATCGATCCCGGATAAACTGCGTTTACGTACCTATCGTGCCGTGTGTACAAAGGGGGCAGGTATTGTACAATCACGTTGTTTAACGAGGCCTTGAAGAGCGTCGCCCCGGGAAATTGCTAATCTCAGGACGTCGTGCGCGTAATACGTGATTCTGCGCGGTCGTAAGTTTCTTACGATCGCGTTCCCGAACGAGTTCCCGTTCTACGGACGATGTTAGCCACGACGGTTCTCCATCCGCAGCCGGAATCGGAATGGGAGGGACGAGGGATCTTGAATTTTAACGATCTCGACGGTACACTTCGCGCATTATGGCGGTTCGTTACGTTTTATCATAGGCAGATACTCGCTGCTGAAAAACAAGGCTGTTACGTTAGATATTCCGTTATATTTTCCCTCGTCTCTCCCTTTCCTTTCCTCCGTATCTATCTTTCTCTCTATCTCAGCTTCTCTCTCTTTCTCTCTCTCTCTCTCTCTCTATCCTAATAAAGCGCATTGTGCGATTTCGGGTCGAGTGAAATTCAATCCATGGTATTGGAAACCTCAAACCGCGAGCCTTCATTTAGATTATCGAGCCGGGATAGACGTCCCGTTGATCTATTATTGGTATTTGCACAAAACTATCGGTATCGCTTCGGTTTCACCTGACCGGCGGGGGGATGACGAAAGCAAACTCTCGTGCGCGAATTTGTCGAAATCGCGAACCCCTTCGAGACAACAACGAGATCCGACCTGATTTGAGACTAGCGCGAGCGATTGAAAAAAGGACACGCAGTGAAAAACGAGGTAGTGGCTTAACTATGTCCTGTGTACTCCAAGCGGTGGTCGGGGCGAGCGACTTGAACGGTAATTGGAATTTTCACTCAATTCAGAGTCACCGGTGAGATTAATTGGCCGACCTTCCGATAACAACCAGCTTGTCGCGGATGATGAATACCGCGCAAAGTACGTCTTTCAAAATTGCGTTCATTAAGCAAAGAGCCACCAGTTACCTGCTTTCCGGCGGCTTTCTCCGTCTTGGACTATAATCGAATCTTCGACATCCCCGTCACGTATTAGAAGGTCGAGGAATCCGCAGAATACGCTGGAACCGGAGAATTTCCTTGCGCGACTCGAAATTACTTCGGAACTGCGCCGGATTTATTTGCTCGACTTAAACTCGGAAGTGAGCGTGCAGGATAGCGCGGAACAAGGAATAAACCCGCCGACGTCGATGAAGACTCCCACGGTGATGTTACTATGGCATTCTTCCGGTAACGTCATCTTGGTTAATCGCATCCCTCGCTTGGAGAGAGAGAGAGAAGGAGAGGATTTCAATTTCTCCAGATAAACTGTCGCCTTTTTGTAACTTGAGCCTTCAGTTCGTTCACGTTGTTGGGTGCCCGCGTATTTTATATATCCCAATTATATCGTAACGATCGGCTGTCGTAAAGTAAAAGTTACGATCTCAGGCTATGGTGTACGGAGCCAGCTGCCGAAAAGCTATTCGGTCGCGATATGCTTCAACTGATAAAGATAAAACGATCCTCGTGCGTCTGTATGGAGAAATGGATTCATTAGAAATAGATATATCTGTACGATCCCGCCCACCAATTTCGAACGTCACTTCGAAAATACACGTCAAATGCGTTTGCCACCCTCAAACTAGCCGTTGGATTCCCCGACGGTGGGCTGTGTTATTACATTGTCAACGTCGCTCAGCCGGCGAATCCGTTCTCTCTGGAACGTCACGCGTCCTCGAACCTTTATCCGACGAAATCGGCGTGTTTCAGCGACAACAATTCCAAGGAGCCATGGAGGGTCGAAGACGACACCGACGAGAGAAACGAGAAAGCCCGAAAAGCTTACCAGGCCTTGCTCACGGTGACGGCGCGCACGCCCGACAACCTGGAGTACCTCAACTTCTCGCGCGAGGTTAAATCCTTGGCGCAAAGCAAATACAACTTCACCTTCGGCAACAGCTCGGTCTCCACCTTCGTGACGGCGTTTTACGACGCCGTGCTGCTTTATGCCCTCGCCCTTAAGGAGAGCCTGCCGAAGAAGCCGGGTGAGGTCAACCTAGACGGCGGTAATCTGACCCGGAGAATGTGGGGAAAGAGTTTCAAGGGTAAACTTCAGTCTTTCCCCTTTATATCCCCGCCTACATGTCCGAGGTCCCGCGGAAATGACGCCGAGAGGAACGTCGGAATCGATCGGAAAGGACAATCCCTCTCGTAGAATCTCGCACGTCTCGTGCAGAACGTATTTCTCGATGGCGTCGGACCTCGGTCATGTCACGATTAATCGCATTTATAGGAATCTCCGGAGCGACCGCGACGTTGGTGGAATCTTTACCGTCGTCGCGTGTTCGCGCGGGAGGTGCACAGGAGGGTCGTTAGCGAGGCGTGCGCTTTGAATTCTCGGGGGAAGTTTGCAGCGAGCACTTTTATCAGAGGGGGGGAAAAAACGCGTTACGTGTTTTTATCGGCGATATTTATCGCGGTGCATCGCGTTACATCGCGCTGACGGATGCGGTCGCGCTCGTAAATCCCAGTCGGCGAAACTGATACTCGAATCCGCGAAACAACGAGGATTGATCAGCGACGAGGGAGAGATAACCGGTGTTTTTGTCGCCCGCGCGCGCCGAGAGCCAGAAGTGCCCTTGTTAATTAGATGTGTTTCGACCGGTCAAATAATTAATTATCCCGGCGTATCGTCACTCGCGAGGATCTGTCACTGATACCGTCGCGACCTTTCCGCCTCCTGTAACTAATGGAAATCGATCGATTTATACGCTCCCACCGGTTCACCTTTCTCTCGCTCGTGTCTCGCCCGAATGACTCGCGATAATTTCAGATATGCCTGTTTTTAAATTACACCAGCACACTCGACTCTTCGCTGACAGTTATTTCTCGCTTAGTTCGGCGGACTAGGTCTGCGAGACCCGGAAACTTTTTCGATAGAACTTACTTAAATCTTTCTCTTATCTTGTGTATATTCTTATTTAAAATCTAGCGCACTTATCCACACACAGTATACAGATATTATATTCTTGAGTGTACAAAAAGATAATTTTGTCGCAATATTTATTATTTAAATAGATGATTTAAAGTATGAGAGCAAACCAATGTATTGGTTCTACACAGAAAGAAGTGAAAAGATCTGACATGCTTTAAGAAAAGAATTCTATTTATTCTGTGGAATAATTCAAGATACGAGAATTTCGTGCAATTCAAGATTCAACAACTATAGGATCTTAATTTTTCGTTCGGGTCAGTTTGACCCATGAGTGCCAAACTAAGCCTGATTCGCAGCAATTTTTCCACCTGATTCTTTAAATTTTTCTCAAAGTACTTTAACGATTTTGCTTCCTCGACGACCCTTGAAGCCAGCTGCAGTTTTCTCGGGACGTGTTATACGCTATTTCGTCCTGCCTGCTATTCTTGATTTTTCTCAGGAAAGCTTATAGCCGATATAGCTGAGATCAACGGAATGTTAGATCGCCAGTTTCCTTTGTATTCCAATATCTCGTGCTTCTCGTTCCGGCGCATCTTCCTTGCACGTTCTCGCGGAGTGTTGCACGTTTATAGGTCGTCACGAATCGTAGCCGCCGCGACAATTTTCCGTCTCGCGAAGCGAAATTCTTCGGGAACAAAGAATTGCGTAATCACGCGTAATCGGCGCCGCCGACAATCTCGATTTCTCACCGATGTGATTACGTTGTGATACGCCCGCAAATATGCAATGATAATTCGCGCTCGCGCGAATTACGATTAATTTTCAGGAATAACCGGAGACGTGAATATCGACGAGAACGGCGACAGAATTGCGGATTACTCTCTGTTGGATATGGACCCGGAAACTTCGAAATTCGAGGTAAGATGTCTACGTGTCTGCGTAGGAACGAAGTAACGTTATCCGGTGTCTTATTGACGGGCGGAACGTCACGCAACTCCCGGACGCATCGCACGATGTTAACGCATTCAGCATATCGAGTTAAGACCGAATACAAGCTCTCACGGCCATTATCATCTCTCCATATCGCGTCGTTTCGCCCTGACGTACACATTGTGCGTTGATCACCGACTCGCCCCGCTCTGCCGCTTTTCCACCTTATACAACGCGCGAAACAATTGCCCGCAGATCGTGGCCAATTATTACGGCGCGAATAAAACACTGGAGTATATCCCTGGGAAGCAAATTCACTGGGCCGGTGGTCGTTTAGAACCGCCTCCGGATACGCCTACTTGTGGATTCGACGGCTCGTTATGTCCTGATAATTGTGAGTTGATAATATCTCCTTGCTCAACGCGCGCGTACACACGCACACACAGAAGCGCTCGATCGATTGCGCGATGACAATGACTACAAAGAGATATCCGCGCGAGCGTTTATCACATCGTTTGTTAATATTAATATCGTTTAACAGTCAGCCAGACAGGTTTTGAATATCGCTGTCTGCGAGAGCCCCCTTTGCACAGTCGCGCCCAGTTGTCATAATTCTGAGTTTTCCCCAGCATGAGAAATCACCCCCGACGCGCTGCCTCGAAGAGAGAGAAGCCACGATACTTGCTTTCACTTAAATTACTAATGTTCGACAGCTCTTCCGGGGTACGCTATTCTCTCCATCGTATTGATGAGCTCCATCGTGGTCGTTTTCATCGTCGGCTCGGTATTCGTTTATCGGTAAGTGTAATTCGCTTTCGACCGAAATTTCCTCACACGTGTCTCTTTGCGCGAGCGCGCCCGTCGCTGTTTGATCGCCGACGGAATACCGTAGGTGACCCGTCGAATTGTCGCGAAATGAATTTCGGATGTCGAGAGAAGCGGGCGTCCCCCGCGAACGCACACCTCTCGCCAAGAGGGGAGAAAATGATGCCGTAGTGCTGAGTCGATGTCACGCGCGCGCCTGTACTCGAACGAAGACCGCGGCGAATAACGATTTTCATTTCGAGCACCGCCGACCGCGCGTCCTTCGTTTAAATTATATGATGCTTTAATGGCCACTCTCGCTTTAATCGGGCAGAATTAGCGAAATTGTTTCCCACCGGGTATTATTTCCCATCGTTCGGCGCGAAACTTCTTATTGAGCGCGTCAGCGTAGGCGCTGACGCGAATACATTAATTCGTCGGAACGTTTCACGGGCCGGCGCGGCCGATATTTTCGCGAATTAAATCGGCCGTTGATGCCGAATGGAACCGGGCTAAATTGAAAGTAATCCGTGCCTTCGGGATGCGCGAGAGGCCGAAGCGAGCTAATTAGCGTAAGTTGGCGATTATGAAATTTTTTAACACGTCGTTTCTGCCCTTCTCGCTTCCTCCTCGTCCTCACTTCGCTTCGTTTCGCACACGAGGAGGTGATCTCGATAATCTACGAGTAGCACTCACTAAGTGCACGTATACATGTTCGGGATGTGGAGCTGCTGCAGCTTCTCGAGTAGGGTTGAAAGCGAGTGGTGGAAGAAGAGGCTGAAGAAAGGTGAAGCGACGAGTAGACGCGGCCGAAGCGGGACACTTGTCCGCGGTGAAATTTCTCGGATGCTGCGGGTTAATCGATTTATATCGTCTGTCGACTCCGTGTTACACTATTGCCCCTAGTCTTTCTCTTTTTCTCTCTCTCTCTCTCTCTCTCTTTCTTTTCCTCCTTTCCCTTTCGGCTCCATCTCGTCGGTTTCAGGGAATTTCAGCCGTTCCGCAGCGCGTTATTTTTCTCCTATTTCCCGAGAAGACGTAAGTCAATTACAGCGTTACGACGCGATCTTAAACATTCGGATTACGCGAAAAGAAACACAGGCAGAGGAATGCAGCGCTCCTGGGTGAATTAGAAAGCATCCGATGATCCGGTAGATCATGCCGCGGTAATTATCGCCGTCCTTCGAGTTTATTGCGCGGCTCGTTACATTGTAACTCGACTTTACACGCGCCGTATCTTGCCGCGGGATCTTAATCGGATAATGCGCGAATGCACCGTTTTACGACTCGCTTTTAGGACACGTTAAAATCCACGCGCACCGATGAGAGGAATCGTTCCCCGGCGACGCGCCAGTCACTTCGATCGCTTCGATCGTCGATCGTTCCGAGCTCTTCCGAGCGATATCTTCGAAGACTCTTATACCGAAATCTTTTCAACCGGAATATCTTGGGCCACGAGCCCGATAATGAAGCACGAGTGAAGTTATTTGTGTTTTCCACCGAGGCCGATCCAATTTATGCGATATTACTGAGAACGTCGGACAAGTAAGTGATAAATTGATTTTATATCTCGCGGCACGTGTACGTATTCGCTATAATCACTATCTTCCGAGTCGGAGGATCGGATCAGCCCCGCGTTATTCAGCTCGTATTGCTCGAATGGAAATTTTGATATTACTTCGACGCTCTTAACTCCAGCTAATCACGTTTCGGTCAGCTCGACTTTATCGCTCTATCATTTTCATTCTAATTAATATTTTTAAGCTTGTAACGCGGGAATTGGAAACACAGAGTCTGAATAAGACGTTTATCGTATCAGGTCAAGAAAATGATTTGAGTTTAGGCTAAATTTATTGTTACAAAGTGATTAATTGTCTATTTTGCTGCTTTAGCTCCTACTATGTCGTAGAATGAAAAGGTTAACGTAAAGCTCCAATTTCGTAGCTGTCTCTCGCGCGTCGCCGGGAAAACGCCCCTTCGTACGTAAACATACATGCAGTTCGCGACTCGCGACCTCAAGTGACCGTGCGCGGCCGAATTACGTCGCGCGTGCTCGTTACGAAGGAAATTATACATCATAGAGAAGAGCGTACTCCAGTCCTGAAAGTCAAACACCGCGCCTTCGGCACACGTGGAACACGAGGATGAAATTATCGCGCGCGTAAATACAATACACTCCCGGCGACGTGGCTTGCGTTTGTCAGACGGAGCCTGCCCGCGTCTCGATGATTCGGTATCAAAATTCGGGATCGAGCATTCGAGGGGGGAATTTCGACGGGAAAAAACAACAGGAAGCGATAGAACTTTTCGCGTGGTATCGCTATTAGATAATTATCGGTGAGAACGAAACACCGGCATAACGGATATCGGATAACAGAGAGCGCGCGCGCGCGCGCGAGAGAAAGAGAGAGACGGCGAGTTCGGATTTCGATGCTATCGGATGCTCGACGCTGCTGTGTGTTCACGCGGCAACGATCCGCTTTTTTTTTTCCTCCTCTCGCGAAAAATCTGCGTAAGATATACGTTACCAGCGTGCGCACAGCGGAGAATCGCATCGAGAATCGAACGATTCGCCGGATGCTACACATCATCGCGTCGGCTTCTCACAGCTACGACGGACGATTGCGCTTTTCTCGTTCCGCCTCGCTATTCGCGCGAGCGTGACTGCGCGCACGATTGCCGGCAACTTTCGACGGATATATATGCACGGGTGTGTGTGTACACATGTGTTACGTGTGTATCGGTTGAATTTAGTTGGAGAATTTCCGAACCCAAAGCCGCACGGAGGACCTTTATACGCGGAATAGTATCTCGCGCGGGACAGATAGGCATGTAGTTATGAGATACACCGCTGCGTAATTACCTCTCGCGTCGCTCTACGCACGCACGCACGCACACACACACACACATACACATATGTATACGCATCAATGACGACCTGCGAACTTGTGCGCTTCGTGTAAGCATTCCTCTAATACAAATTCACGTTCATAGGTATCGCTGGGGACGAGCCGCGTCGGGATTGCCGTGTATCATATAAGTGTATCGACCTGATTAATTGCATCTTTGCAGGTCGGGGTAGGTGCGTCGCGAAAATATTCCCGTTACGTCCGCCGCGTTACATATGCGACATGGTAATTGCCATTGATAAAAAGATCTCGTTAATTAGCGAGAGAAAAAACGGGAGAGAGAGATAGGTAGAGAGAGGGGGGAGGGAAAGAGAGAGAGAGAGAGAGAGAGCGCGATCCTTTGTCGAGGGGGAGAAATAATGTCGACGTCTGGAATTAATTCGCGGCACGTACGCTTAAGTGCGCGGTTTATCACACAGCTGTAGGAAATATTGCGCAAATTTCGCGACGCTCTTCCGCTCTCGCCGCCGATTCTCGCGACAACTCCGAAGAACGATAACGCATGTCGTCTCCTTTTGCAGGCGCTTCAGATTGGAAGCTGAAATTGCCTCTATGACGTGGAAGGTGCATTGGGACGACGTGATGGTATTGTCGAACGTGAAAACAAGGGGCTCTATGTACTCGCTGATCGCTAATAAGTTTCGCGGCAGCCAACTGGTAAATAGATAAGAAATGCGATTTCCGCGCAATCGTTGCGTAAGACTCTTCACGCTGTCTCGTTGTTATATTGCGCGGCAATGATGACTCGATCGTCTGGAATTTCGAAGTGTAACTCGCGAGCAGACGTCGGATTGAGAACGTTGCGAGAGATTAGTTACGACGGATAAGGAAACAAAAGCTATAATCGCATTTTCATTCGAGCATTCCTCCCGGTGACACTTAAAGATATAAACGATTGTATCTTGAAAGAAACTTTGGAAATAATCAATTAATCTTCGATCTGTCCCGTAGCTCTATTATATGTAATAAATTATTAATAATATTGAATAAAACAGAAAGAGGGTCTCGTACTACTTGAAAATAAAAAAAGTACGTCTGACTTTATCGTTGAGTCGCGCTACGATCTCGACTTCTCGTTTGAAGATAGTGGCGACTCGTAGCGGAGAATTTGGAACTAACAGAGCCGCAAATAAAGGGTTTGTGATTGTAAGGGGTCTTACTTCACTACTTACTTTCTTTTGATAAGTGAAGTGATAAGTGAAGTTTATCAACTTGTAAGAAAAATTGTCTAATTTGTATTTGAAAGTTCTTCTTTTTCACGAGCTTATACTAAACGAAAAGAATCGTGTCCGACTCCAAAAATTCGAATTCCATTTAGCTAAGACTCAAACCATGCTTTTAGCGACGCTTTGTGCAGCACCGTTAGATGGTACAAGGCAATATGTGTTGGCTAATTTTTTATTTCAAGGTTCGGATTATTTCGAGACTCAACATCGAATTAGAGAATTTTTTATTTTAAATAATGCATCTCCAAGAGTCAAGACTCTGATTTTCAAATAATACGAGTGAACAGCAAGTCGCGCGAGGGACTTCTTATTTTTAATTATTATTGATTTCGTTAGAAGTTATCCTATTAACGTGTTTATTACTGTTCCTTTGTATAGCGTTGGAGTATAAAAGTAATGAGAAAAAATTTATTGTAATTAGATGAAACTTCATATTTGACTTTCTTACGTACTTATTTCAACGGCGATCACTGACTGGACGATTCGTATAAATTTCATTACTAGCTTTCGCTTTGCGTCTATATTGCCTCATCTTAATCTTAACAATAGAATCTTTGACCAATTTGTAGCCGAACTTCGTTTAATTAAAACGTCGATCGATAGTTCCCGAGTTGTAAATGACTACGACTGAAGAGCTTCTCGCGAACAAAGTTTCAATAGTACAATTAAATAACGCGAGAGAGTCTCTATGCCTTTAAATTAAGGGTGTCCTAAAACATTTAATCTCTTCTCTCAAAATTTTTCTTAAACGATTAACGATCAACTTCAAACTTGCTTGGTGTAACTTGCGGTTTAGTGCCGTGTCCATCATGGATTTGCTTCTGACAATTAATGACGGCACTAATCCGGCAGCCAGATCAAGCATTTCTGCACACCGGAGAAATCTAAAATATCAATTCCAAAATTGTCAGAGAATCGATTTTCTAAATTATACTTTTAGCAGATCTCTCTGTGCATAACATTGAGGTAACTTTGTCGATCCGTTGGCGACGCGAGCGATTTTTTAAAGGAAGATTTGCCCTTGTTTCAGACGATATACTCCGAGGATAACATGAGCATGCCAGACGGCGTTGACAAACATAACGTGTATGTGCCGACAGGTTTATACAAGGTCAGACAACGTTTCCGTTTCTATTTGATTCATTTGTATCGTACGATTGACGTTTCAATTCCGACGCACGTGCGTCGCCTTATCAATCAATCGTTGGGCAACTAACTTTTGGAACTTAACCGCCGCAATATGACACATTTGTGCGCATATATCACGAGCGATATAAATCATTTCCCGAGTTATTTTCCCGGCGGCGATCCGATAATGCGGACGATAAGCTGCGAGTGATTTCGTTTCAGAATTCGAAAGTGGCGATAAAAGAGCTACCGCGGAACAAGGTGGAGATCTCGAGGCCTCTGCTGCTGGAATTAAAGCGGGTGAGTGGCTGACTTGGCAAACGACATGTTTCATTTCCATCTCGTTGAATCCGTCGTGTGTCAACGCGTTTAATTCGCCTCGGCGAGTTAAACCTGCCTAAAAGGAAGGAAGACGCGCTTCGACGATATCTCTGTCGATAACGGAGACAAATCGCGTCTATTCCCGCATAGTTTCTTCCCTAACCGGCCGGTGTTGCATGCAATAGCGTATAAATCATATGAGCGGTGATGTTGATGACTTTCGCAGATGAAGGACCTCCAACACGATCATCTAGTACGATTTTACGGTGCTTGCCTTGAGCCGCCAGTCTGTTGCCTACTGACCGAATACTGCCCCAAAGGATCCCTTCAGGTAAATTTCGCGTCCCGATTCTCCGATATTTTGTCGAGACGCGCAAGTAAATTCGTATAAATCAATATATATATGGAGTGTTCCGCGAACAAACCGACAAACTTCGCCAGCATATTTGAGAGGTCATTCTGAACGGAAAATGTTATATAAACGATGGATCAATTCAGCTTTGTTATCGAGATATGACCTCACTTGGTCACTTGATCCATCCTTTTTTTAAATTTTTTTCATGGGATTGCATAAAATCGAGTATTTATATGGAAAGCCTGATATGCGTGAGCAGTTGATAATAAACATCAATGAAGCTGCTGTTAGTATTAGCAAGCTGCTGATATTACGTGGATATGGAAGCACATCTCTTTGCATTTACAGAGGCACGAAGTGCTCATTTGGAACGATACGTGTAAATATTACAATATGTCAATATGAAATGCCATTTCACACAATTTCGAATAATTAAGCAAAAGTTAAATAGCTCGGAACGCTTCTGATTATCTCCGGTTTATATCAATACATCTCCCCTATCTCGATAACGGAGCTGAATTAATAATCCATCGTTCGTATAACGTTTTTTCTTCAGAATGACCTCCCAAATATGCTGGCGAAGTTTGCCGATTTATTCGCGGAACACTCTGCATACAGAGTGTATCTGAATTCCATTGACAAACTTACAGGACACTTTGTGCTGAGAGCTAAGCAAAAAAAGAGTGTCTCGGTAAACATACGTTCGCAAAAGCTTGCTTTTTGAGGTACAGTCTTCAGAAGAGAAGATGACAACGATGTAGAGTTAAGATACGCCCTGTATAATTTATACGCTCAGAACACACTGCAATGCGCAATTTGAACGTCCGGTCGAGATCCCGTATTCCACATAACACCTTAATCCTTCGCTGTTGAGCAGGATATACTAGAGAACGACCAGATAAAGCTCGATCACGTGTTCAAAAGATCCCTGATACACGATATCGTCCGCGGCATGGCTTATCTTCATACGTCGGAGGTGAAGAGCCACGGTAATCTCAAGTCCTCGAACTGCGTCGTCGATTCGCGATTCGTCCTGAAAATCGCCGACTTTGGTTTGCATGAGCTCCGGAGATCGAGCGCGACGGAGACGGACATGGACAAGAATAGCTACGCCTACTGGAGAAGTACGTGTCCACGAATTGATTATGCACACCGATGTCGCCCAACGTGCGACGTTATTTTTCTAAGAGTCTCGCAGTCACCCTGTGAAATGCCTTTCTTTCTCCGCGTGAAAATGCGCGAGCGAGGGGGGGGGGGGAGAGAGGGAGGTAGTTCAATGTAAACCGTGCGGAAAACTCGTGCTTGCGAAAACGCTACCGCGCTGCCGATGGGTAGTTTCACCGCGTGCGTACACACATACAGAGAAAATGTTTGTTCTGCCGACGATCTGTAGTGATTTAATTTGTGCGGCAGCACGAGCCGACGGGAGCGAGCGGGAGGAATCGAAGCGCGCGATCCGATTTCGATCTTTCAGAGCGGGAAATTTCGCGTGTTCGCAGAACAGCTGTGGACAGCTCCGGAGTTGCTGAGGATGGAGAGACGACCGCCCGAGGGCACTCAGAAAGGCGACGTGTACAGCTTCGCTATAATCGTGCACGAGATCGTGATGCGCCAAGGTCCGTTCTATCTGGGGGACAATAACGACCTCTCTCCTAAGGGTGAGTCTTTAGCCTCGATCCGAATGTAATCAACGACAACGTGTAATTGGTTGTTAGCGTTTCGGCAACTGAAACATTCCGCGAATTCGCCGAGCGCGTTACGCGCTTCTCGGTACGCGTAACTTGAATGGTTGTTAACTCAACGACTAGGAATGCAAAGTTCAAAGTCACGCGGCAACTCCGGTCCCCGTTACCTGTGGGAAAACAGTGACGAGCGACGTGTGATGAATCGACGACCGATGAATCCAGTTTTCTCTCGGTGAAAAACTCCACTTTTCAACGGCGCAATTTATCGCCGGGTCGGAGGGACTTTTATTCCGCGCCGTCGGTGAGTGAAAAAGCGCGGCCGACCTGCCGGCGTTGAGTCGCTCTACTTGAAAATAAAAGCCTCTCCGACGCTCCGCGTACGGAAGCGTACTGTTTGAAAAGAAAATATCGGAATCGACGAGAAACTACAACACGTGCGAAGGCGTGAAGTTAGCTAAACCGCCGCTTTCCATGTTTTCGCAATCGATCGATCTCGAACGAGCTTTTCTGGCCGCTGATAAGCGCAGCTGCGTTCACCGTTTTACCGGCCGTCGAGCCGGTATCATCGCTCACTTGAGAGCTTTCCGATGAGAGCGAGACTCCCCTGAACCCGACGACGGGCTTGCAAGCGGTTAATCGACGGATGGCTCCCTCTCGAGAGGGAGAAAAACTCGCCGGCAATCCTCCGTGCCGCCACCGAGAACTCGAGTGTCATCGCTCGGCGGGTATCAATTCCACGTTGGTCAAGGGCCATCCAAAGCCTTACCGTCGCGACCGGTAACTCAGTTCTCTCGCAAGCCCTCGCAAGCTCTCCCCGAGACCGGATCGATCGCAGGACGGAATGTGTTCGGTGCCGGAGCGGCGGCCGAAAGCTCAGTCGAAGCTTTCACGCGTCCAGGAACGCACATGGCTTTCGCGCGCGCTCCGCCGATTCCTCTCGATATCGCCGACTCTCTTTCCCCCTTCTCACCCTAGTTCGCGTGTTCGCACATAAACACACAGCCTCGACACGTGAATTCAGCGGGCGTCACTTATGCCCGCGTTCACCGCATAATAACGGCTACCGAGTCGTAGGTATCGTTGTTTAAGAAAAGCCGGAAGAGAAATCTTTCTCGCCCAACAAACGGCCGACGGCAATGTGCGTGCATACGACGTTGCGTGCGCGCGCGTATCTCTGTGTATGTGTATGCGTGTGTATGCGTGCTCTTTCTTTCCACACTCCTTGTTTTCTTTCTCTTTTATTCGAACGCAATGCAATCACACGCTGGCGGATCGCGCGATTTATCCGGCGTTAATCATCCCCGGCGATGGTACGTCGATTTAACGTGCGAAAACAAAGTTCGCCGCGCGGGTCGACGCACCTTCGCGTAATATGCGAGCGAGGTTTACGAGAGCGCGGAAGTAATTACCGCGCTGCATCGCGGTATGCCGAGAGATCGCGTGCGGAAGTAGAATTCTCGGCGATTGTGTTGGAGAAAAAGGGGTCCCTGACCGTGTTAGCAGCCTCCCGCTGGAGGAGACGTAAATCTCTGACTGCGTTCTCTCTTTCTCTTCCTCAGCGGAGGAAGCAGATTCAAGGAAGTGTTGGGGGAACGTCTGGACGGATATACGTTCCCCTAACTGTATTAGAGGGTCCCCTATTAGAGGAAAAAAGAAAGTGCTCGATCGTGTCGAAATGGTCGCCTCGTTAGGGGAAATAAACCACCGCGATTGTAAGGAGCGAAGATTCCCTCTCACCGTTTTACGGGCTTCCCGACGTCGGTCTGTCTTGCACTACTTGGCGGACCAGCCGTTGACTCGCGTCGCTGATAGAGTTCGACTTCGCGTCACGAGGATCGCCTCGCGACTGCCGCGCGCAATGCGATCTGATTTCTTCGACGAAGAGAAATTCGTCGGTGGGATCGGCCAGAGGAAAAGTTCGGCCGCAGCAGGCATAGTAATTTCGACGAGAGTGCATTGCGTAATCGATCGGACGGCTCGGGTAATAGTTTCGCGTTCCCGTGTACGCTGCGTGCATTTTCAGCACGGCCGTGCACGCCGCGCGGAGCGAGTCTCTCGCCTGCGCTCCTTCTTATTTCCGCCTCTATTTTTCTGAGAAACTGCCTCCCCTCCCTCTCCCTCTCTCTCTCTGTACCGATGTCGAGTGTCGTTTTTGCCGAGATAGAAACTCTCCGTTTATTATGGAGCGTCGACTCTGCTCGCACCGCGATCGCAACATTGTGCAGAAGCGTTCTTTTCGTCGCGTTTCGTGGCGTTCTGGCGTTCTTGCTTTCCTCGTGACACTTGTTAGCCTTCCCGAAGTTTCTCGCGCGATGGCTACTGTTTACACGGTGAAGAACACACTTCCAAGGATTCCACGCGGAAAGATCTCATCTCTTTTTCACGACGGAGAGAAATACATAAATAAATGACCAGAGCTTGACCGATGACTTTTGCGAAAGCGCATCTGCTCGATGTTACCTCTTTATTTACGCGTGGGAGTCTTTAATACGAAAGGATAAAAGTGCCACCAAGTAATCCTTGTGTTCCGAACATTCAGTTTTCATCGCGTGGGAATCGAACTGAACGAGAAGAATATATAGGAATTAAGGGATCATAGGTCGCGATACGTGATAATTACCACGTCCGACGGCGACATTCGCATCGGCAGAAACACCCAACGTGATCTTATCGCGAATATATTCACTCAGGCATCGGGATTCGCCGGTTTGATATTCGCGGGCGAAATCCCGGATGGAAAGCGGCTCTCGCGCTAATTTACTCAGCGGCGAAATCGGGGTTACGAGGCTCGCGGCCCGCGGTCATTAATTCCGCGAGGCGTTTTTCGGTAGCCGACAAAGCGACACGGGATAAACATTTTCCTATCCCTCGGGCGGCCTGTCACTCAACGATCTGTGCGACTCGTGGAAAATGCGGCGTGTCGCGCGACACGAGAATCGTGGCGACGTTGGTGGCGGTGCTGGTGGCGATAGTCGCGATGTTACCGGTGGTGGTGATGGTGATGGTGGTGGTGGTGGCGGCATTAAATCCGGCGTATACAGTAGGGCAAAGTTCAAAGGGGTCGTTGGGGTGAAGGCAAAGACCCGTAGTGGACCCGACCGGAACGGGTGACACGAACTCGAGTGTTCCTTAATGCGGCGAAATCCCGCTAAGAAAAGAGAGAGAGGCGACGACGGGCCACTACTTAGACCTTATCAAAAATATTGTTCGAACAACCTTCCCATGACTTCCGGCTGTTTTATTGGCCATTGGCGCGAAATGTGAAGAATGATTTTCTCTCCCTCGCTGGTTCGTGACTCGGCGAAGCGGTTCGCGTGAATTTGCTCGCGGTTTCGTTCGCTCTTGACGCTGAAAGCACACGTTGACTCGCGGCAGACCCGACTTTTAATTGTCTTCGACTTTCGCTCTCACTTCCCCATTTAAGCGAGAGGGTTGCCGATGTATTCCTCAAAGTTTCGGGAGCACGTCGGAGTTGGTGGTAGAGGTCGGAACGATCGGACGGGGATTACGTAACGCGCTTCTACGACGGGAAATTACGCGCGGAAATCGATGGCGTGATTCGCGGGGAAATTTCGGAAGCGACGACCCCGTCTTGCGAATCCGGACGAAAACAGGGTCGTCGGTCGTAAAATGAGGAGGCACGAACGTCGAAAGTGCCGTCGCGGCACGGGAAAGAAATCAAAGTCGGATACGACGGTTCCAAGGTTACGGGAGACGTAACTTTCTGCTCGAGTCTCGTCGAATAAGTCGACTGTGATGTCGTTACACGCGAGTTAAACTTTAAGACGTCCATCGCGCCGCTCGTTTCATCATCGAGCGCGTAACCCGGAGAGCTCTCAGGCGATAGCTTTATTAATCGGGATTCTACAGCGTCCGACTTCCGTCGGATTAGAAACGAAAGTGACACTCCATCGAGGAATCCAGCGATCGTGATTTTCCTTCGATATTAACCCGCCTTTTCCAAAGAGCGTAGCAAATGTCCCCTTCAATCTCTGACCGGACACACGCCGCAATGATCGGGAAGCACTTCCCGTCAGCCGATTCCCGCCGGTCGAGTACAAACCAACGGCCGATCATCGGCGAGTTATCCGCTTCGCGAGCGAATTTGCGTCAGGCTGTACGTCAGAGCCGGGCGGCGAACCGTGAAATTCGACGACCGCTCGGTAAGACCGGATATTCCGGAAATAAAATCGCCAGGGTACACACGTACATACACATCGATGCGAAACGGAAGCACAGTCGCGCGCGCGCGCTCCCGACGACGAGATCGCGCCGCGTAAAGGAGTGAAAGCGAGGGGAGGCGAAGGGAAAGACGCGATATCGGGGGCGGTAAATTTTCAAGGGCTGTCCGGCGAGGCAGTTGGGCTCTGCTTGGATCGACGTCCGGGGCGCACGGAGACGAGGACGGGATGGCAGAGAGGAGTAACGCCTCCAGCACGAGCAGTCTCACCCTACCGCCGATGCCGGGAACGAGCCCCGACGGCGGGGCCAGCCCTAGGAGGGCGGTCAGTCCCTTGCTCGAGATCCGCAGGCCTCACTGCACCCTCAACTGCGAATTCTGCAACGTCTACCTCGAGGACATCTACAGGCACAGTACGTCTCTCGCGCGCGATCCGTCCTTGGCGCCACGTTGCGGTGGCGCTCGCGTCTTCTACTCTGGGATTTCGATACGCGGCAATGAATTGTGCCTGCCTCGAAAGCGCGAGATCGTAAAGATCGTGAGGAGCATCCACCCACCCGCTCGCTCACTCTCTCGAGGACGAATTCGTCCGCGGGCGACACTCGATATTAATCCCGGGCGAAATTACACGCTCTTGTAACGTAACGCAGGTCCTCGCGGCCTCGGTTCGTGTTCCGTCGCGCGAGAGAGAGTTCTAGGTGTGTATTGTAAATCGGTGTGTACGTATCGGCCTCACCGTGGTCACATATGTCGCTAATTACGGTCGATAGCGACGTCTAATACGCTCGCCGAAAATGCTTCGCACTTTTTTTACTCCCCTCCCCCGCTTTTTTTTTTCCTTTTGCCTTCGTTATTTTTAATGAACACCGGTATCGGTTTCTCGCGTGGACGTGTTAGCTCGTTAGTACTTTCACGGACACGTCGGAAATAAAGCTTCGATATCGGCTCGGGACGTGTATTGTTGTCACTGTTATTAGAATTATAACTGCGTAATTATAGTAACGCGTGTGTTATGTTATTTGTATTTTGCCAGTGTTCGTGATACTTGGTGTTTCTCGCAAATATGTTTGACTTCCTGTTTCACGCAATTTTCTTATTCTAGCTGACACCCTTTTTTCTTAGATTAGACGTTTTAAATCTGTATAAATAATTCCGCACTGTCGCAGCTCCCGCAACTGCGACCTTTCCTAACTGGTGATCAATGCGATTTGTCCAAATACCACATGCACTACGTAATGTGACGCTTTGCGGCGTCAAAATTCATCACTCATCATTTCGGTGATATGAAATTCAGTGATGTCCAGTCTCATCCACCAGGTCCACCGATGAGAGACTCATTGCTGCATCTCGACCGCGTTGCATCCGTCCAATCTCCTTAACATCCAGCCGTTGTCCCACGTCGATCGTTCTTCATTCTATTCATTTCACTTTACCGCTCCGCACTCACGACCGCTAATCGTTTTAACGATTTAACGCTCAACGATTCGATTATTTAACGATTTAACGATTTAGCGATTTAACGAAAGGTGCACGACGAATTTCAGCGCTTCGAAAATAAACTCGCGGGTCGCGAGTCGATCATTACGGCGCTTTCAACAATGTTGAGAGAGAAAATGAAGATATCTCGTTTCGCGAACGATTAAATTCGGGGAAAAAGGAAGTCCTTTCGCAAGAATTCTGCGTAACTGTTGATTCTAGATCGAAATTCTGATTTTGATTCCGATCGAAATGACATTACAACTCGTGACGCGTGAAATATTCAGGAAATGGCGATCGCCGTGATTGCTAGATATTCCGCGAGAAATCGCGAATTCCGCGTATAGTCGAACAATTCTGACGCGCAATTTTAATGCGCAATCCTGGCGCGCGATTGCAGCACGCAATCGTGGCGCACAATTTCAACGTGCATTTCTCATGCGTGTTACGCCGCTTGAAACAATTAAGGGATCACGTCGATGGAACAACGATAGAATGAATGGTTCCATCGGATATTTCGGTATTTTGAATCAAGATTACAGATTAGAAATTTGAAGCAGATATTAAGTGAATTTGGTATCTTTAAAAAGGAAATATTCGATATTTCAAATGTTCGATAACTCCGAGAAAACCCATTTTCGTAGTAAGTGCTTTGCTACCACTTTTTTGTTTTGTAACGACAAAAATATTGTCGTTGGTGCCAAAGACGACTATAATTTCTAATGAGATTAATAATTTTTTTTCTCTCAATGTACATGTAAAAATACTACAAGCCAAATAAATCGTATTAATTTTTTTAGACACACCAATCATGAATAAATCCATCGCCTAAAATCTTGATTTTTGACTCCGATTGTCGGAAAGTCAGAATCAGCCACATTCCGTTACAATTCTGGAACCAAAAAATATCGTCGTCGATTAGACACAAAACTTAACGGCTTGAGAAGGAAAATACTCGTGAATACGAGCATGTTAACCACTCGCGATTTTTCTAACTTAACGATTTTCACTTGCACACGTATATCCCAGTTTTCGATCGCGAATTGTTTAATGCATGAGCACGGGAAGTTTGTAAACCTACTTTTTAGCTGATCCCGCTCGGCTCGATCCTCCGGTGCGGCATCCGCATGTTCTAAAACTGCATCTCCTGGGAATCGCACCGATCGTGTCGCCAGAAACTCCGCCGGATCTAAAACAAAAAGCGGGTCTTTCGGTTAGTTATATTGATAAAAGTCAACATATGAAGAATACAGAGACTCGATATAGCGTATATTTCTTTGAAACAAATAAAAATCAAAGGTAGTGGATCGAGATTCGAGGATGTTGCCGCTGCTCGAGACTCTATCCTAGCGCGACGATTGCACGTGCGAAATAACATAAAGCGTCTTCGCGTGCGATTCGATCGGTTCGGATAAATCGGGAATCACGCGTGACGTTTCCCGATTGTTTAACCTCGCGTCGAAGACTCTTATGATTGATCGACACTTGCGTGCATATATTATTATTATTCCCGAGGCTACGTGACTTCCAGCCGGAATGAGAAGCTCTCCGTAAAGCACCGCTGCGTTATTTATTTATTCGTTCATTTAATTAAGGAACCTGACGGAAACGCCATACGGATTCGTTTATAACCGACGGTACTCTCCCTTTTGGGCATTCAGGCAATGCGACGTACATATCTGATAGCATACGATACGCAGGGATCGAACTAGAATTCTATACATGGATCGATTCTATACATGGACTAGCAGCTACCTCGAAGATACTTCCTTCCTTCCTTCCCTCCCTCCTTCCCTTCTATTATCGAATATCATACAAAATGAAATCCCACATGTAATTCCGACGTCTCATTCTATTATGCGTTACGTTATCAGAACTTTTGCGCACAGACGTGGGCGAATATGCTAGATGAAATGTTAAAATATGACAAAGTAAAACAGGCAGCGTTCAATGTGGAGAACGATACTTTCGCGTAAAAGAATTCGATCCTATTAAAAGCTACGTAATTTTTCGGAATCGTGAATTACGTACGGTTCTATTTTCGCTTAGATGCGAGAGCGGACGGTAGGAAGTTCGCCCTGTCACCGTTATTATCGATATATTCACGTTACCTACAATCCCTTTGGCTGTTTCCCTCAATTCTCTTTTTACGTCAACGTGACGTTTACGCAAGAGAACCATTTATAATTAATCCCGCGACTCTATGGAACGGGTATATTAAGGTATACCTGTATACATCGGCGCGGAATCCGGGAGCAAATACCATGAATGCGTTCATTCTGTTCTTGTGTAATTTCCGCTCGTCATGAAATCGGCGTGTGCACGCGACCGGTGAATCGCAAATTCCATTATCGGATCATCGTTACTTTTCACGATACGTTCCCTGATCGCTGACTTCACACGACTAACCCTTGTTAGTTAGCTCCGTGTTCATTCGCCTGCGGCATGCAATACTCGCGAAAAAAATAAGCTCACCCTTGACACGGAAACCAAGAGATGAAATTATATCGTGAAAGCAGAGAGGATGAAAGAGATCGCGAGAATTCAGTGAACGTAAATAGAAAGAGAATCAGTTAAGTGTTCCTCTTTAACACGTTCGCAATCTAACCCATGGCTTATTTGAAAAACTCTCTCCACGGGCTATTTTCAATTTTTCCCACGCGATTCTGTAAAACGCGTAAAACCCGTTTGATTTTTCCCACGAATGGACGCGGAGTGAAAAATGATCGCTGCCACACATACGTGACGCTGACAGCAACGTGTTAAATCAAATCGACAATGTTCAATAAAGCTGAGCCTGACACGAGAATCGTCACGGACGTATGACGCTGGTGGCGAGCGTGTTAAAGGAGAGTTTGCCGCATTACGGCGCGTTATTAGGGCGCGTGAGGCGTGCCGTGTCGCAAAAATGTACAAGAGACGGGCGCATACGTACGCATACGATGCGGTAAGTTATCGATACACGCGGCATTGTGCCCGAGAAGGTGAAATGACGAAAAGTCTGGTTCGCAGCTACGGTCATTTCTCGCATTCTACGGCGGCGAGAGCGACAGGCGAATTAAGGATGCAGTCCCGCGCTGTCTCGGGCGAGACTTGTCCGACCAGACGCGGGCTACTTTCACTGCGCCGCGGAAGGAACGCGCGATGTTGCGCGCGGACGCTCCAATTCGCGCGGTTACAATTACGCTGGAATCTTTCGCGGCGTTAGGCCGATTGTCTTTCAACACGTTACACGTTGCCACGTCTGTACTCGTACCGCGGTAACACACCGCGATCGATAACTCCTGCCGGTTCGACGGCACACAGAATATTTTCCGCGCCCTTTATCAAACGATTTTTCCACCCTGCTCTTTGAACTTTCATGTCAACGTGTCTCACTCTTGTTTCAGAAATAGTCGAGGGCGTCAGAAGAGGCGGCGGCTCACCCCTCAGGCCTGTAATCGACGAGGCTACCGTGGTGGAAGAAGAGGTAAAATTTAAAATATGTTTCAAATATGTTTGAATATTTGACAGTTCCGTTAGACTGGATTTACGCTTAGTGTAGTAAACATCTTTAACCTTTGGCTTTAACATGTTCTCTGCCGGACGGTTTTTCGATTATTTTCTGTTTACGCTGCCTGGGTCGCATGCGCTTCACGTTATCAAGATTAGTTTTGCTTGTGACATATACGTTATAATATTTATATGCGCAGAAATCAGGAATTAGGAAGGAAAATGACGTCCAAGACGCGCCGCAAAATAAAGAAATAGTTGGCTTAAAAAATTTGTGTGCATTTGCACAGTTTATCGTCAAATAAAGAAAGAAAGCTTTTCGTCTTTAATATCGTCAATATTTAACATTAAAATGCTATATTATCTTTAATGAAAATAATACGTATGTGAACTGTGCTTCGAACAAAATATTTATGATTACAAAAGCATATCGCGATGTATTGTGCAACATATTAAACGTAATTCTTCACAATCATTACAGAATGCAACTACTTTTATGAAATTTCCCGCAGTTATATCGGATTTTCTCAACATTATTTTCATAGCAAGCTTTGCAAAGTTGACTTATAAAAGTGAATTAAAAAAAAAATAAATGAATTAAAAATATAACTATCACGCCGCACTGCCGCTCCAACGATGTGATAAATGCATGATATTCCGATATCAATGTATGATCATACGAAATGTTTAACGATAAGATTTATTCAAATAACGAAAATATGAAACACACACAGTCTAAACGGGAAGTTTAACGTGGAGCGAATACGCAGCAGCGAGCGTATTACGCGCCAAATTACCAACGTAATTCCCAGCGGGAAGCGTTTCCAACGCTACCAAACGTCGCGATTCCTAAAAATTTATGCGTTGTTGCGACTGTTATTTTAACAACGTAAGGAACATCTTTTGTCAGAGGAATTACGTTACATTCTATTTTTTCGAATGAAAGGCTGAAAGCTTATATTGTATCTATTGTAGGTCCGGACTTACTCGTGCGTTTATATTCGCATGGCGACCGTTGATTGCTCCCGGTGAAAGCCGGGATTCTCACTGCGAGAGCGACGAATTTTCGAGACTTTTTCGACGTTACTCTTTTCCGCAGGTCGCCACTCTAATGAGACGATGCTGGGCGCAAGATTCCGCGGACAGACCGGATTTTCCGGCGCTGAAGCAGACCATCCGTAAACTCAATAAGTGAGTAATTTCTTCCTGCGAATTACCCAGCTCTCCTCCCGGCGCGGCCATAATTTTCTACGATTTACAGCGGGTCGGAGGCGCGTTTTTAATTACGATCGAGTCGAAACGCCGACAACGTCACGTACGAACGTCGCGTAATTCGTCCGCGAGCTCAGAGCGGGGCCTCGAGCAAATTTTAACGATCCGCTCTCTCTCTCTCTCTCTCTCTCTCTTTCCCTCTCATTAAGCTAAAAGCTCCAAGCGTCCAACCGTGAGCGTGCAGCGGATATCGAAGCCGCGATAAAAAAAAGCGCGTATATCGTCCTTTAGAACGCCGATAAACCTTGAGCAGTGGGTGAAACGATCCCGCGAGCGCGCCGCCGTAAAACGCCGGAGTAACGCTCGAACTATCAGGAGAATGCATTAACCGCGACATCGAGGTATTGTCCGTGTAACGTTATTTCCGTCTCGGTGTTCGCGCATTATCTCGGGATTCTCTCGGCCGATTTATGTAAAAACGCCGTCCGCCGGCGGAGATGACGGGGAACTCTCTCTTTACCGAGCGACAGGTCGCGTGCGACGATATCGTGAACAATTACGCGAGAACATTAAGGTAGCCGCATAACCGCGTGATATCCGCGCGCGCGAGGAGAGACGCGCGATTCGGGTCGGACGAATCGAGCGGAGCTTGACTCCCATACACGGCGATATCGCCGGGAACGACGTTATACGTATTCAGCAGGGCGAATTGCAAAGGCCATTGTGCCGGCATAAAGCGCGGGAGCGCGAAGGTGCGACGACGAGTGCAACGAGTTCGTGCCGCGCGATATCTCCGCGCGAGTAATCCTTTCTCCACTCTTGGCGCAGGAAGCGGGCAGCCCGCTCTCTTCGCCCGGATATTGGCATAGCTCTCGACCTTCCGGTCTTTCCGCTACGGTCTCGCGCACGGAGGAATCCGAAGGGTGTCCGGGCGAACGCGCGCGCGCGCTGTGGGCGCGGTAATGCAGTAGATCGGTAACTTGGAGCGCGTGAGAGACAGAATGCCTTCCGGCCGTTCCTCTTCGCCGCGCGGTAAAGCCGAGAAATAGGAATGGGGAGGACGGGCCGACGAAGAAAGAGCCGCGTCACCGGCGATCGATCATCGGGAATCACCGGAGAGCGCGGGATCCCTCCGGAGAAAATCGGCCCCGGCTCTCCTCCCGCGAATTTATATACAAGTCGCGCGACCCAACGATCCACGAGATTATCTTCCCCAGGAGAGGATGTATAAAGCGTCAGGACGCAGGCGCCTATCGTCCTTCCGGCGGAGAGATGGGTCGCTTGAAAATTCCCGATCGTTGTCTCCCCGTTCCCGGAGATTTCCCCGAGATTCTCGCGGCCGTGAGAACGGGATGAGGTCGATTCGCCTTGCATAATTTTATAGACGTAATTCTTCTCACCTCGTTTCCGCGCGGTAAGCGACGGAACCGAGGACTTTCCATTCGGGACGGAATGGCGATTCGATCGACGCCCGTTCGATACCTCCGGACGGATGGTTGTTTCGACCGACGACGCGGCTCGTCGCCGCGTTTGATCGAGAGTCGGCCCGATCTCATTTAACTTTGACGTCGTTTTATCGTCGCGCCGCGCGCTCTCGACAATTTTTATTTTCATCGCCGACCGCGACAGCGCGGATCTGATTCGTACCGCCCCGACCGCTGCCCCGCGTCGATCGATGCTGCGTTGTCAAATATCCCCGTTTCGCTCGATATGAATTCCCCATTCGTCGCAACATCATATTTATCTTAGATTCCTTCGACTATGTACACACGTTATAAATGGAAAGGAGTTTTTACGGGACTAAAAATCGCGGGAAGATAGGACGGCCCTTTAGGAGTTTAATCGCGACTGCTGTACTTTGGCGGAAATTTCGTACACTTTACGAGCAATTACTGAACTATTTATTAATTTCTGTCTAGTAACTGAAGAGTAAAGAGTAAAACTGCCTCGGAATCAAGATATAACCGCTTTTCCTGCAGTTGCCGCGCACAAAAGACGTGCAGAATCTGCACCCATTTACTAAACGAAAACGGAATGATAAACGGAGGGAAAACTATTCGATTCATTGCTAAGCAAGCTTGCTGCTCATGAAATAGGCAATTTTGTCTCAGAACGTGGAAGCTTAGGCGTAACACTAACACAAATTTACAACTGTTTGCGCGACGCATCGCACAAACGTGCTGCAGGCGCGGAAAGCGTGAAGCGAACGCAGGGAGATTGTTCGGGAATGGAGGGCGCCTACGCGCCCTTTTGAATTGATATTTGAGAAGCCAGTTATCTCTAGCGAAGTCAAGCATCGCGTGTTTCGCAACGGTTGGCAAAGTTCCGCGAGGACGCAGAGAACGCGAGCCTGGAAGACCGGGCTGATATGCGGACGGCCGAATGAAATACATGCGCCGGCAATATACGCTACATTCTCCTATAGATTCGTTAACGCTGAGTTAGCTATCGCGTTTCGTCCTTGTTTCATTGTTCCCCTCCCTTTTTCACTTCCATCATATTTATCGCCCGTTCCGCCGTCCGGCGTTCGCGCGGTTCCCCAGAAAAGTTTTCTATTACATTCGTTCACCTCGTTTCGCGAGAATTTCCATCTCGCGACGATTTCGCGCTAATACCGGAGAGCCGTGAAGCCGAATGCAGCGTATTCGATTGAAATGCCCCAGCACGCATGCGAATGGACATCGGTGTAAAGGCGATCGGGTATGTATGTAGCGTGAGGGAAGCATTGAACGGCCACGCGGTATTCAATGCGCAGCGAGCGGTGTGATTGGCAGCGGCAGATTAAAGCGGACGATAGCGTCGTCGCGATTCTCTCTCTCATCAGGAGACTGAATTCGCCGCCGATAATCGTCGGCATCGTCGGCATCGTCGCCCGTGCGAATTTTTGCCGAGGTCCGTTCATTACGTTAAAGAGAACTTCCACCGTGTGCGTTTTTTTATTCGTATCGAGGCCAGAGAGAAATTCACCGTTACCAAATGAGGATCCCGGCAAAGAAGCGTTTGGAGGGTCCTTTGATCGGCACATCGGAAATTATTTGAAGCAGATGAAAAGACACAAGAACGACGTCCCGCTACGTCGCCGGTACTCGTGTGATACGACCCGCGTATATTTTATAAATATATATATATATATATATATATATATATATATATATATGTATTTCTCGCCTGCGCTCCTCGCGTATCCGCCGGTGCGTCATCGTTCTCCTTTGATTTCGCTCGCGCGAGTTATTAAATGACGCGACGAAAATAGGCAGAAATAAAGGAGAAAGAATAGTGCGAGATATGGAAGAGGTTTCCGTGGTTCCCGAAAAAAAAAAAAGATAAAACGGAAATGAAGATTGGTGCGACAAGAGAGCGGTAAAGGATAGATAAACCGAGGGGGTGAAAAAAACCGAAAAAGGAATTGCGGTTAAAGAGAAAAGAGCGTTCTCACGGGGGTAAAAGTGAGAGGAAACCCGGGCGAGAAGAAACGAGCGTCATCGATTACGTAGAACGGAATTTCTGTCAAGCTTGTTATGCGCCGCGTTAAAACAGGGCGCGAAGAGTTCGAAAGATGAGTCGTAACGTTCGCGTAAACACGTGCATCTGCTCGCGACGATGGTCTTCGTCTTCTCACCTGAAAAGTACCTTTGAAAAGTTACGCGATATTCTCTCTTTCGAAAGAACATGCGCTTTAATAGCCTTCTAGGATTCACTTTCTATCCCGGGACCTTAAGAAATTCAGAATTTAATTTCCACTCACGAGACCTTTAAAATGGAGAGATTATCTCCTACGGAACGAGTCTTAGGCTTTTATATAGGACCCTCGTACTAGTATTACATTATAAATCACGTTATATTCTATGATAGGTGCGGGACAACGCGCGCGAGGAATGTTTAATAATCCATAACAAAGAACTTTACTGCCGTAAGATGTCGTCTCTTGTATTTTCACCGGCTATAAAAATCGGCCGGGAAGATGCCTCATAAAAATATTTTATCCACGAAATATGTCGTGTGTGCGTGCGCGTATATATATATATATATATATCACCGTTCGAGAGAGGTACAGATTTTTTCTGCAATAAAGTTAAATAAAAACTTTTTGTAAATCTTCAGATATTCAATCTGACGCTAGAAATGGGTCAATGAGGGCCTCAGACGCGAATGTATGGGCTTAAGTAAACAAAAATACGAGCGTTACGCCGGGAGCGTTCGTATATAAAAAGAAACCAAACATTTCGAACCTTTTCCTGAGTCTATCTCGATGGAGATGAACGGGACAATAACTTGTTTCTGTTGCGTGTACAAGAGCGTCCGATGTTACGTTTGTTACTTTTCCCTTATTTATATTTGTTACTATTCGCGTATTCTCATTGGCTCATTTATAAAAAATATACTTTATGTATCAAGGTGGATTCACCTACGAATATATCAAATCGATTTTTCCGGAGCGAGAATTCTCTCGGTCGCGTTAACGATTTACTTTATAATGTGCGAAACTAAAAAATTGTTTTTTTAAATTATATCGGGGGAGTGCGGAAAGCAATTATTTTTTATGAGAGAAGTTGCCTTTGTACGAAACTCGTCTGCCAGGGAAACTGAAAAATAAAATATTGTTCGTTCCACGTACATATCCGCGTTATTAGACCGTTTCAATAATTGAATAACACGCTGGCCATTATTCACAAATGCGAAGTCCCTATGGACTTCGTTATATAGACCGATGTATTTAAAGAGGAGCGATTGATTGCTTAACACGATCTTTCATTTCACATATTTCGTCGTTTTATTACTCATTTATCTCGTAACCATGTCGTTCCTCTAATCTACTTCTATCCCTTTATTCGTGGAATACATCTCGAAACGTATTATCGCCCGGAATGTATCATAAAGCAAAAAAAGGTTTCAAGAAACACAAATCCGCGCGACTAACCATTTTCAAGATATTCCCCTTTGTTCTATAAAATACGTTCTTTTTACCGTTACACGTACCT